TCTGTCTTATTCATATCCTCTCAATATTCATTTCCTGTACATGTGATTACAAAGAAAAGAAACATTTTGTCATCTGCCTTCATCTGACTTGTAATAGTGTAATATAATAAGAATGACACATGAATTGGTTATCAACAATTAGATTTGTCTTTTCATCTCAGGTTGATGAAGACAAAATGTCATTTCGAGTGAATTTAACAAATACAATTGCTAACACCAGGCAACTGAGACAGAAAAGGAATAGTGCTGAAGAGATTCGAAAATTAGATATGGTGAGTGAATACCTGTTTCTTGTCTATTATGGTGAAATTATTGTGCAATACAATGTGATTGATCATCATTATGTGTCTACTTATCTTACCAATATCCTGTCCACCGGCAATGTGACTGTTATAATACTCTGTAAATTCAGTAAAACTCTATTAATCAATATCTGTGTGATAAATTACACCATAAACTGTGTGTGTGAGGGCATGAATGGCTTGTGCCACAACCATCAAGTGGCCGTGATTTATCAAATTTGTACCATGGATTGTCTTGAATTAGGTAGTTCTTTACCAATCATACCATCTTCTAGGTGATCAAAATAAAGCTGTCAAATTGCATATTCTCACTTGTTTGTGTTTATCATGCCTTAAACACATTACGTTATAACGATGGCTTTAATTTAGGTATAAATATTTCATAGCATATTATAACATTTGAAGCCAGTCACGGCATGTTATAATAAGTCTTTGCATAATAAAGTGAGTATCCATTAATTAGATATGAATATTTCACATATGCTGGGTGATATAATAGTTTATTGGTTAAGTGATATAATAATCCCCTGATATCTCTTATAGGATTGTAGGTCAGCTAGATGTGTTAGAATAAAATGTCAACTCGATTTTATACTTGATAGTGGTGAATCAGCACTTGTAGAAATCAGATCAAGGCTATGGAAAGATACTTTACTTCAGGTTAGTCACCTATGCTTTTAAGCACTAATCTAATCATAGCATTTCTTACATTGAACATGACAATTCCATTAACATCATTTATTTCCTCAGTGGGTAACTTTGTAATGTTTATATCGTTGACAGGGTGGTTATGATGAAACAGAGATAACATCATCAGGTCATGTTCAAGTGACTAGTATGCCGTATCATATTACTCCTCAAGCTTATCATGGTGCTGATGTTGAGGTGAGGAAAGTTCAATCTTTACTGTCTCTATCAGTAGCTTAAAAGGCTAGTGGGTATCTTAAAAAATACCATTATGATACTAAATCGTTATGTACTCATTTGCGTCAAAATAAAACAACACTACATAGTTGCTACAAAAGAAAAAAACAACTAATTTTTATTTGAAAATGTACACGTACCGAGGGTACGTTACTCATTTAGTAATTGCAGTTAATGGTGATTCGCAGTTGAGATTGAATTATATGCGCACTTTTACTTGTACTGTAGGGTCATTGTCATGATTTCTTGAATTCATCAGATTCTTTATAGTTATTAACCATCCAGTTATTTGTGGTCTGAGAGGACAGTCTGGTTAATCCTCTTTACATATTACAATCACTTATCTTATTTAACCTCTCATCTCCAGGTAACTACCATAGCTAACACTGAGAGACCACAGCCTGGAATATTACCTATATCTATATGGGTGCTTGTAGTGTCAATTGTGTCCGGATTTCTTTTGCTTATCTTAGTTGTTATAGGGCTTTGGAAGGTAATTCAAAATTCAACCTTTTACTGTCTTTTTTACTGTAAAATAATGTCATTGTTTTTTGTGGTAAACCTAATTTTAAAATCAATTATCAAATCTGCTAAATATGATTGAACTAAATCTTTTACTACTTTTTTTATACATAGACAAATCAATAAATCTAAATCTATGTTGATTTTTCTAGTCAGCATCAGATATAATATTAATTTGCACAAAAATTGATGCCCATCATTGAGGTAGTGCAACATCAGTTGTTAATAAAGCAATCAAAAGTGCACTACAGCACCAAATGACCCATAAAATTCAACCTGTATTGTTTTTATCATGTAGGCTGGATTTTTCAAAAGGAAAAGAGTTGAAGATGAATACACAGCTCAGAACTGCGTGAATGACCACATGTCAACATATTCAGGGTCACCTGCATTTGCTAGTCTCAGTACAGCCGAATCAGATATAAAGAGTTCAAGAAGCAATAGTAACTACTAACTGGCATCGCTTTAGTTGTTTGTTAATTTGTTGCTTGCAGTAATTTAATATAAATCGTTGCCAAACCATTTTGTTTTATATTTTCACATAAAATTGTTATATCTGTACAATATTCTATATTGGCTGCCCTGTTCTGTTAAGTTAGCATATATGATTTAATACATCAGTTTTGGAAATCAGTTGATTACACTTTTGGACTATCCAGGGTAGTTTTCATGTCTTGAGTGCAATTTTTAATATGAAATTATTAAGGCCAGAAATTTAATGTATTATGTATATATACGAGAGGAATATGAATATTTACTGCCATATATTTTATGTCTGTTGATTTTCTATAAATGATGTCATTGGTTTCACACTGGAGTTGTCACAATCACAATTGTCACAATGAATTGTGTTTATTAGACTAGCATCTGTATGTGTTGAATGTAGATTACTGTGTTCTACTCTACAGCATTTCTTCTCTGATAGTGTTTTATTCCACAGCCAGCTCTACTATTTTCTGGGTTATCAGTTCTGCAGCTTTCCATCCTAAAGTTTCTTTATATGTATTTGTGTCCCACTTTCTTTTGTGGCTTGTGTTAACCATCTTTGCATTAACTATAAACACCTTTGCAGTGATACATTCTTATATAGGATTGATTTCATGAACCATTTTAGACATATATTCAGGCAACTATTTTATATTTACTTTAATTTGTAATACATTTGTACAGTTTGGTAAAATTGCTTTGTTTTAATAATCTTCATCATCAATATGTACGTAAAGTTGAAACTAAACATATGTTTTTTTTATTTCTATTGCTTTTGTTGTTGTCTGTCACCAATTGTGAGTACAGTCAATACACTTCATAGTATAGTCTTTCTTTCATATTTACTGCTCAGTGTCTCGTTTTAAATTTTACAATTGATGAATTCCCTCACATGTTGTTGGACAATAGGCATTACTGACAATTGTTCCTGTATTCCTGAATAACCATCTATACAGATATCTGCCTTTTACTAACTAATTCAACTTTATTAACAACTATGCTTGGGTTTTGTTCTCAGTACTTTACAAACATGTGTTTGATGTCATTTAACTAGATCAAATCACTGGGGAATATGTTATGATATAGTGTTTGTGTTTATTCTGTCCAGAGAAGTTGACTGTTTAATGTAGAGCAACAAATTTTGGAAATGAGTTACAGAAACCATTCTTTTTAGCTGAGATAAATGAACTATAAATATATACATGCTTTTTGTCAACATTCCATTATTACTGTAAAACATGGACAATGAGTTGTTGTTTGTTAAGGTTTGATCAGAGCACTGAATTTATAAATTGTAAAAATAAGCATAATCCCTTTAGATATGGTGTTTTATTACACTGTACAGTAAATAGATGTGATAAATGTACTGTTAAAACTCCACAGTACTAGTACTAGTACCAAGAGATGTTACACGGTGCTTATTTTTATGGAGAAAATGAAATAATCTTAATCCCTGTTAATGCCACTTGACATATCATATATCCAAGATAATTTCCATTTTACAAATACCTGATAATTTTCCTATATCAACTTATTTGTCATGTTTTTATTAATTTGCCAAATGCTTTATTGAAATTTGTTTAGTTAAAGCATAGTGGAGATGATAACAAAAAATGTTCCTGCCATATGAATTTGCAATTTCCGATGGACAAAATTATTCTGCCTGTTGCAGCAATTTTTAAAATGTTGTATATACTTTTTTTTCTGTCAGAATTTATAAACAAAATAAGTTAAACTCGTTGCAACTTTTCAAAAATCCAAATGACTATATATTGAAGAGTTGCTATACATGCAGAACAGAAATATCTGTTTGTGATATGTTAATATACAAATTTACACATGGCCCTTGAGTTTTTAATACCTAGCAATATTCTTTCTTCTGAAGGGCACTATTTTTTAATCAGATTAAACAATGTATGGATGTGCCATTCTGAGAAGGCAGAATACACCTTGTGACCATATACTATACATATTTTCTTTTAATATTACAAGGAAAAACAAGAAAGTTTTGAAGGATAAAATCCTAAATACTTGAACAATTATTTTTTGCACCATTTATGTCTCATTCAGTGTCACTATGCCAATTACATCATAGTTAGCTTAATGTTCATGAAAATATTAATGATATCATTGCCATTTGTATTTATTTATTAATATTGTTTATTGAGTATTTATAGGGTTATAAACCCCGGCAATGTACAATTACAGTTCATATTTGTTTATACGTCATTTTTTGTATTTCCTGTTTTATAGTTATGTTGCCTGTTTAAATGGAAAACATATCAAAGTGTAATAAAGAACTTGTTTTGCTATAATCTTGTGATGTCTTTTTGAGAACTCCTGGTCAGATTTGAATAGTACACAGATATAAGATGTTCTATAGGATAAAGCGAGAGTACAAGAACTCTACTGAGATATAAAGTCTGACACCGTGTCCCCCCCCCCCATATAACATGCTCACAGCAGGGTGAGAGTTTTATCTGATGTACAATCTGCTAGCTGCCAAAACCATTTATATAAAAAATATTATATATGATCCAAAACATTGTATAGCCCCAAACCAATGACGCCATCGAGTTATAGAAATCCAAAATATTATATAGCCCCAAACCAATGACGAAATCGAGTTATAGAAATCCAAAAC